AAAACCACATCATGCACCCAATCTAGTCGGGACTGGACCTCAGTCATGAGGTCAACAGCCCCAGGCCTGCCGGAAAAGCCAGGTTTTGATAGGAAGGCCATGAGAGTGGGTAGGGTCTGGATCTCTGGGGGTAGTTCATTCCATAGGGTCGGAGCGGTTACAGAGAAGGCCCTCCCCTGGGGAGCCGCCTGCCGACATTATCTGGCTGACGGCACCTGGAGAAGGCCCACCCTGTGCGATCTTATCGGCCATTGGGAGGTATGCGGCAGAAGACGGTCTCGCAGATATCCGGGTCCTAAGCCATGTAGGGCTTTAAAGGTAATAACCAGCACCTTGAATCGAGCTCGGAGACCGATAGGGAGCCAGTGCAGCTCCCGGAGGATAGGTGTAATGTGGGTGTACCTTGGTACACCCAGTATCGCTCGCGCAGCTGCATTCTGGACTAATTGTAGTCTCTGAACACTTTTCAGGGGCAGCCCCCTGAATTCATATAATACATTTCTTCCAACTGTAGAATCAGTCTGATATTTGTGTGATTACCACATTGTAAACCACTGAGATTTGTTTAGATTCAATAGTTTATATACCTCCAGCAAATAAAATAAATAAAAAGTCCTCCACATTAGGCTGATGTGCCTATTTATAGACAGCTATGACTTGCCTCATTGATTCATGAACTGGTATGATTACATTATATTCCTTGTGGACAGTACTTGAAGCTAGGCTGGAAGCTACAGCTAACGTGAAATGCAAAGGCTAAGCTACTGACTCGAAGATGACTCTGTGCTCACATTATACCTGTGCTGAAAGATCTGCATTGACTGCTGGTTATTATCAGTCAGATTCAGGATGTTGCTTTTACAAAGTCCTATACAACCTGAGAACAGCTTGTCTAAAATAGTGCCTTTAGTTACAGCCACTTTCCGTAAGCATATATTATAATCATAATATATTTAGCATTGATTTTGTCTTCTTTGCATTTGCATCCAGGCAGACATAAAGAAATTGGCCTTCTTCAAAAATAACAGTGATTTTTTTGGAATAACCTTCTCTTTGTAATGCGCCATGTTCGATACTGATGTATTTTTCCACACTTTTTCTTTTTGCATATATGCTGTATCTCATTAAGTTGATATGCCATTTAAATATATGTTGCCTACTTTTTACCTATGGTTTTTCCATCCATTTCCCCTTTTTTATGATAGCAGCAACCAGTAAGCAAAATATAGCCTTTAGCAAAACATTTTGCTGAAAACTTAACTTTTAGTGAAAAGATCAGGATCAGTCATCTGACATTCTCATGTAACTTAAGAATTGCTCATTGTTTTGATTACCCTGCCTGAGATCCAACATTTCTTAAGAGAGTCCCAAAGGTGCTTTTTCAAGAGGCAACTGGACTTTCTGGTTTTTCTTTGAAGACATTTCACTTCTCATCCAAGAAGCTTGGATGAGAAGCTTCTTGGATGACCGGAATGGCTTGAGTATCTCCATAGGCATTTCTTGGTGAGGTCTATAGTTTTTTTAAATTACAATTTGTTGGGATCATTGTAAGTAATTATACTGGAAACTCAGCTGACAACTACTCTCTCTCTACCATAGCAATCCCACTGTTAAGGGGACTTTCAAGGCAGTTCTGCACTGTAACCCTATCAGCGTGGAAATAATTCTAGTAACTTGGTTGATATAGTTTTGAGATTTCAACCACATCTTCCAGCACTTAGCTTTACAACGAAGAGTTAGTAGAGCAAGATATCTTAGTCTTACTTATAAGGCAAGTTTTAGAAGCATATATATGAAAGTCAAGATGTGTTTAATGCTTTTTTCCTGATTCAGCTGGCAGCTATACAATAAATGTTTATTTGCTTTATAATAGCTACTTTTCCAAATAGTAAAATATTACAGTAAGCAGAATTATTACCAACAGAATAAAATACTCATATTTGTTCTGCTCTTTCATGTTAAAGTAACTTTACTTAGTCACCCAAAAAATGTTGACCTCTTTCTTCTCAGGCGAGAGCTACTCTTACCCAGGCCTCAAATTTGTATTCTGGACAGGTCCAGCAACCAGGGCAGACAAGCTTCTATAATACTGCTCAGTCTCCCAGTACTCTCCAGCAGGTAAACTATGGCATGGTAAATTGCTTTCAATTTTTCTAACTTATCCATACGTGTGTGCTGTATGTAATACTATGGTTCAATGAATATTCCATTTTGTGCAAAGTAGATAGCGCTCTACATAGCAGAAATCTAAAACAATTCTTAAACATGGAAGATTACTTTTTAATAATATCTACTTTTTAATAGATTGCTTTAGCACAGGAACATTTATTTTTTGGAGTGGTCCCCGCTCTATTATTAAATTTTCTCTTGTCGGAAAGGGTCCACCTCCCCATCAGAATTAGGTTTACAGCATTCAGAGCAGAAAAAAAGGAGAAAAGGGGGTAAAAAGGGGTTCAAATAAAGAACAAGAAGATAACATGAAGAGAGAGGGATTGAAAAAGAAAAACATTTAGATGATTTTACTAGGATTTACAGTGGCACACAAAAGGCAGGCAAGAGGGAATGCCCCCCCCCCCAAAAAAAAACTAAACAGTAAAGAAGGAAATAGTGGGGAAAGATTGGGAGAAATCCAGAGGAAATTTACCATAACAATAAAATTAAAAGGGAGAAAAAGGATTTTAAAGAGATACAGTAATTATAAAAATAAGAAAAAGAAGCCAAGAGAATGGGTGGAAAGAAGAGAACCTAAAAGAAGTGGGATTTTTGAGAGACCAAGATAAAATGGTTTAGAAAAGGAAGAAGGGAAGGGAAAGAATATATTAGTAGATTAAAGTGAAATGTGTTAACATTGTTAATGTTATGTAGCTAACTAAGATGTGAGGGAATTATAATGACATTATTAATTGTGGATAACTGATTAAGTTAAATGCTTATTATATAAACATTGAATTTGCGAATGTATGTTAACCGATAGCAAAATAGAATAACGGATGGAAAATGAAATGATAATTTGGTTTAACTTGGAAGGAGCAAATAATGATATTGTTTATGTATTAAGAAGAAATTAAGTTTAAGATGAAAAATATGGAAAGGAAACAATGTGGCTGAAATTGGAAA